TAAGCGTAAGTCACTTCACTTCAGTTCATGCTCACATGATGCTTATTACACACACACACACACACACACACTCACACTCACAGACACGCACACAATGGGTATTAGGATAGGGCAATTTGAACCTGGGGACTGTGAATACACAGGATCCACTTCGCTATATTTATATGTATGTGCGGGCTGGCCTTGCGTTGCTTTGCCCGCTTTATTTCGTTGTGTTAAGTAGCGAATTTTTGGTTTTATTCTGCGTTTCCTTTTATTGCTTTCGACTATTTATTATTATTATTATTTGTGTTACATATGTGATTAACGCCTATTTTTCGTTGGTAAAAAAGAAAAAAATATCAATCAACTGAAACACTTTCAAACTCATCGCTCTTGTTCGCTCTCGCCCTCGAATGTGCTTACAATGACATAGAAAAACTGAAACCAGAACAATAAAAACGTTTCACATAAATTTAAAACTTAAACAAAGAAATTAATTAAAAAAGACAACTGAAAACATTTTATAAAATAAAATCAAATTTGAACATAAACCTCACCCGCAAAAATAATAAAAAAAAAAAAAAAAAAAAAAAAAAAAAAAAAAAATTGTTGAACAATTTGTGACGAAAATATAAACTGGCTCTCACCAAAAACCAAAATCACTTTACACAAACAAAGCAACAACAACAATGAAAACCAAATCACCTAATTAACTGCAAAACCAAACAAAAGAAAAAGAAAACCAGCAACAAACAAGCAAAGCAAAACACAAATAAACAAAGCCAAAACAAAATGTTAACTATGCAATCTCACCTCTGGACACCAACCAACACCAACAGTGGCCAGCTAGCGAGTTACTCTCTCTCTCTCTCTCACTCTCTCACTCTCTCTCTAGTAAAACAAAAACAACAGCAAATCAAGTATTCCGAAGTAGAAGTACACTTGAAATCAGTTTAAATAACACGCCAGCACACACACACACACATACACTCTCTCTCTCTCTCTCTCTCTCTCTCTCACACACACACACACACACGCTAAGAATCTTACTTATTTAGTGCTTTCAATTTCACTCAGTTTCCACCACTCGCTCCACAAGAACCACGCTCACACACCACAAATCGCTGCGTGCGCTCACTCGTTAGCTGATCTTGATCACCTACTAAATATACTAAATACTCGCCCACCCGCCCACTTGCCCACTCACCAAGCTCACCACGCTCACCACGCTCACCACGTTCACTACGTTCACCACGTCACCACGACTCACTCACCACTCTCACTCGCCACTTTCTCACTTCTCACTGCGGAATGGCCAGGCATTCAGTATTGTCCAACACTGGCGCGTATTCAGCAAGCGGATGCGACGCTCACCACGTACTCGTTTAGATCACAACAAAGAACAACTACAACTACAACTACAACAACAACTACTACAACAACTACAACAAGCAACAACAGCAGCAACTCAATTATGTTCATTTTTTTTCCTTCTCCTTTGTATCTCACCAACTCTCGAACACTACTTTATCAATATATATATATGTATATTATTCAATTAAAGCCAAAAAAAAAAAAATAAATAAATAAATAAATAAAGAAAATCTATGAAAATACAGCAAGTAAAATTCAATTAAACAAAATCACAATTAAATCTATATATATATTTACATATATCTATACAATATCCTAAACAAACAAAAAGAGATATTGATTAACTAACTCAACTCAACTCAACTCAACTATTAAGCAAGAGCAACCTTCATTCACACACTCAATCACCAACTGTCACAGTAAATTTATCTATCAATCACGCAACCACAGACTCTAACCCACGCCAACTCAAAGCCAAAATTAATCCAATTACCAATTACCAACAACAAAACAAAAAAACAACAACAAAAAATGCCGCTAACTGACCAAGCTAATATAAAGCAATTATAAACGATAATTTTACGCCACACTCTCTCTCTCTCTATATATATATACATATCTCTCTCTATCGCTCTGTATTTAAATTGTGTATGTGTATTACCTATATATACATATATATATATATATATATATATATATATATATATATATATATATATATATATATATATTTAAAAATCAAAAGCTAAACTAAAATTATGAATCCCATATAAAATGTTGAAAGCCCGAAAAACATTTAGTAACACTTAAGCTATCCAAAACCAAATTATGCTCTTAACAATTCCGATTATGACACACAAAATACTTATCGATATAACCACAATATTTACAAACAATAACAGCAAAAACAAAAAAAAAAAAAAAAAAAAAAAAAAAAAAAAAAAGAAGAAGAACATGAAGAAAAATAAGAAGCAAAAATTAAAGAGAATCTGAAATTTGTAAATATTTATACTGGTTATAGGCTCACGGGCAATCGAACTAACAAACAACGAAGATCTATTAAAGCCATCCCAGTTGTTAACTGTTTACACTGAAAATGCTTAGTATTTTTTGAAATCATTTGACGTATACCTCTGTTGAAGTTGCCAGTTGGCCAATAGCAGGATATCCCTGAGATGATATCATAGCTATATGTATATCTATTGGCCGACTGGCGACTATTATTAATGCTAAGTCCTTGACAACGAATGCGCAGCGCGTGCGCTTCGTTCGATAACATATAGCCGTATATACCTCTATATATATTTACAAAAATACGTATATGTCTGTTTGTCTTACTCTTACTTGTACTGTGTTGAATATATTTAGAATTAACGTACCCAATTTACACCTTAATTCAAATTTGTTCGTACATTTTTCTCCATTCAATTCAATTCAAATACATCTAGTTGTTCACACCATCTTCTACAATTTTATAATAACTATAATATGTATATGTTTTCCTTAACTTTCTTTTCGAAATGTTCAGTTTTTGTGTACAACCACATTATCACGTTCACTCTCTCTCTCACTTTCTCACACATACTCTCTCTCTCTCTCTCTCTAAACACTCTTCGTCTCGCAATTTTCTTACAATTACATGCACAGCTTTCAGCTGTAGCACACAATTTTTATTGCTCACTGTTTCACAAACTACCACCACCACCACCACCACCACTGCCACCACTACCACAAACTCACCACGATCACAAGACAAACTTACCACAATAACGATCACACTCATAATCGCAAGTATTCGCTCACCGTTCACCAACTCACCGGGTTATAGATTTTTGATCACGTTTTCAAGCAAGTTGAATAACATAAATTCACCACAGCTCAGCTCACAACTCACCACAGCTATAAGATAGCTAAGCGCCAGATTTGTGCTGTACTAAATACTCAGACGATCACATTTCAACTTTTTCACTAACAAAAGCAACTAACAAAACCACCAAACCACCCAACCACAAAAAAAAAAAAATATATATATATATATTAAAAAAAAAAAAAAAAAAAAATTAAAAAAAAATCCACCAACTACAAATCTGTGCATTCAATTTGAAGAAATTGAGAAGCCATTATCGAAATTTCATGGGTATTAGGAGACCGTTTCACGAGACTTCTTTTATGTTATTTCCATTCAGATGTTTGCGTATAATTTGTTGATTTTTATAAACTTCTCATAGTCAGCCGAGAGCCAAAAGTTAAAAGTCAAAAGTCATATATGAAAATAAAATATCGATTGAGTGGTCATCGTTACGAACAGCTAAATTCAGATACTAAACAAAATTCCAAAAGCCCAATTAAAAATTGGAAAAACTCAAACGAATCACCCGAAAGTCCCGATTGGCCTTCAACACATCAAGAGGCGGCCCAGAACTGAAGTGCGACACTCGTTTATCGGCTCGAATCACCCCTCTCTCTCTCTATCTCGCTCACTCACTCTCTCTCTCTCTCTTCATCCATCCATCTCTCTCTATCCATCTATCTATCTATAGCTTTCACTCACACTTCAGTCGACTGGGCGCCGAATCATGAACGTGAAAACCTCGACTTAAATTTGCATTCCCAGCAATTTTCTATATTCAATTGCTAGTCAAGCATACTTCGCAATTCGTTTTACACTCCACACCAAAATTGATTTATCGTTCCTTTTGATTTGTATATAAACGTATTTCGTTTTTTATTTTTCTCCTATAATATATATCTAACGAAAAGTCAGGTCTATTCAAATTACCATATTGCTGTGACACCTTACTATACTTATATGATAATTAAATTTTCAATCCGAATCCAATTCGATAAGTTAAAATTGCAAATTGTATTTATTTCATATCGATTAAACCTTCGGGCAGCCAATCGCGATCAAGCTGAACAGCAGCCAAGAAAAAAATCTTCACACACCCGATCCGATCGGATATTGATTGAACTGCAGAGCTGTTCAGGGTGGTCGCGATAACGGTATTCGCCCCTGAATTGGGCCCGATGTGCGGCAGCTGAAATCAGCAAAGCTAAACCTTTTATATATGAAATCCTGTACATATGGCAGATCATTTCCTCTCTCTCTCTCTCTCTATCTCTATCTGTCTCTTTGTCTAACTCTTTCTCGCTTTGTTAATTTGTAAGACAGTTACACTAATTGTAAGGCAAAAAGTCAAAGAAAATTAAGTATTTGTTAAAAAATAACGTAAAAGAAAAGCAAAAGAGAAGAATTATAAGAAGAAAAGATGAAGATGAAGAAGATGAAGAAAGAATAACTTTAACCCTGCCATATAAGTTAATGTACATAAACTACTTATACAATACTTATAAAGCACACTTCTAAAGAGAAAGCAAAAGAAGAAGAGAAAAGAAAAACGTACTAATTATGATACAGATATACTTAGCAAATTTGTATAACCGTTCAGCATTAAACAACCAAAAACATTTCAATTTATATTCCCGCCCCAAACGCCCCCCGCTGCCAATTCGCTTAATAATAATGTTCTTTCTCTTACTACGCATACTTCAACACGCAACGCGAAATCGATCGATTATCGATAACCTGTCGATCAATACATACACACACACACACATACACACATGTGTATACACATATATAGGTGTCTCATGTCAAAATCGATTCACCTGTTTTTCGCCTGCACACAAACGCAACGGTTATTTTACTGATCACATTCTCGATTGCTGTGACAACGCGGCAGTACGTAGGAAACCCCATAGACTGTGTACACACAAGGTAAGATATCGAACCTCTCTCCGCCTCGCCCTCACCACTGCCACACTGTTTGTACATCTTTCGATATATATATTTGCAGAGACATTCCGGAAGATGTTCTCAACACATATTGTTGGATACACTCAACGTATACAGTTGTGGATGCGTTCATGAAAAAGCAAGGTTCCGAGGTGCCTTTTCCTGGAATTCACAATTCACAGGGGCGTGGCCCTCTAACAATAAAGCACACAAAATATTATCAATGGGTAGCGTTTACACTATTTTTTCAGGTAAGTTTCCCATTTAAATACATATATAAGAATCAAAACCGTTAATCTCTTGTATATAAAAGTTCTGTATGGGAGAGCTTCGAAAGCTTTTCAGCAACTATTTGAATCTATATGCTTATACTAAGCAAAAAGCTTTCACTTCTGACTAACTTCCTAGAATAAAGCTTGCAAAGCTTTAGTGGATAATCACACTAAAAGCTCAGCAGCTTTATTTAAAGTGTTGGTGCAACTTCTTGCAGCTTTTGAGCTTAAAGCTTGCAACTTTTTTCGCCTAATAGCCAACAGAGATATCTGCCTGCTAACAAGTTCATTCATTTAAAAATACAGAGAAAAAGGAAAAAGTTGACAATTTATTATTAATTTTGATGTACTTAAAAATTAAAAAAAAAAAAATTGTAAATAATTTTTTAATATTTATAAATAATATATAAAATATCGAATCATTAAATCTTATTTATAAATCTGCAAATATGCTTTTAAAGTATCATAAATATATAAAATCTCTTTATATAATAACCAAAGTCATTTTATGGAATTTCTTATTGAAACGTATATGAGAAAAACTTGATTTGATATATCCTGGCTAGGTTGGCCAGCCTTATAAGAATGGAGATTCGTCATGGGCTTTGACATTAGTTCCGTTTGTAACTTTTACACGTTTCAGTTATTCGAACATATTGAAGGAGTTACTGGAGCTAAAGTAAGCAAATCAGCCACATTAAAGAAATCCATTTCTATACGACACCCAGGGTATCTGCTAGTCGAGCTAGCTCACATACATAGAACACTCTTAGTTGTTTATGATATTAATTGTTATGGACAAACAACTAAATACTAAGTATTTCTAGAGCATTTATTTTTAACACAATTAAAGTTTGGAATCCAAAACTTTCAAAACAAACTAAAAATACACTGAAGACTAACAAAACACTCCAACAGCAATTTTCTTGTGAGAAATCAGTGTGTGCTTAGAGAAATGCAAGGGTTATTTATATAGATAAGAACTAGAAGTAGAGCTATAGCTAGAAATAGTGCTGATTCGAATATGGTTCTGGTTTTCTTTATATTCTTAATGCCTATATGGTCAGTTTTAAAGTGAATAATAAAATAAGAATTGGGTTCGAGAATTTGGACTTCCGAGTGAGGTTAGGTTTTCTTTAAGGAGCTACCTTGTTTTTCAATTTTATGATCTTGGATCGTGAATCTTGCATAGTCAATACCGAAAATCTGGAATCTAAGCAATGTCATCATTTTTTTTAACTGAGTACCTATGAAGAATTAAGGTCGTGGTCAAGTCAAGTCCACGCTTCGACGATTTGCCTCCCCTCACAGTAGGTCGAAAGCTGCGTCTTATCAACTGCATTTGCATTTCAAGAAGGATCTGGCCTGACCTGCCCCAGCGCATGCAGCGCGTCAGGCCAGTGCTTGCCCCGGCTGCATGCAACTGTCTGGAGCTGTGCGGCTAAGTGATGGAGGCGGGGGTGTTATAGCTCTATTCATGCGTAGGCACGTCTGGCCTGGTCAATGGATATCGCTTGGAGAGCCATTGAAGCGTTGAGCCGCCTTTTGTTGCGAGCAACGCTTCCCCAACGAATATCGATGACGATAATGAATTAATGCGGCACAGACTCTCACATGAGCTATATGCAGTTACAGTTGCATTTAACCATTCCCCACAGACCCAGCGGCTATAGAGCAGCGACCACAGACTATCGGCTATCGGCCACAGACTCACGCATGGCCACGAACACGAACTCCAGTGGCAGCAGGGCCACGCAGCAGCCGGATGAAATGAAGCGATGACTGCGCAACTATTTTTGGAGCAGTCGCCACAAACTTATCAATTCTCTCTCCATTCTCTTCGTTGTTCTTCTTCTGCAACTGCTTGGGCTGTGCACTCTTTCGTTGCGTTCGCCTCCCACCCACGTCTGGTCACGCCTGCTCACGCTTTACGCCTCACGCCTGTCGCCTGCTTCGTGCGTATTATTATATTATTGTGTGTCTGTGCTATTTTTGGCTAAAAAGGGAGAGAGAGAGAGAGCGAGAGACAGGGAGAGGGAGAGGGAAGAAAACGGAAAGAAAGAAAGCCAAACGGGGAATGCAACCGCTTGACCCCGTTTCAACTTTACCAATAACGCACACGCCCCTCCGTTCGAGAGGGGCGGCCGGGCAAGACATCCGCCCGGTCAGCCGACATCGATGGCTCAGCTAATTACGCCGTCTGCATTTCCCTGCAGCAGCGTTAATTTGATGGAAATTTGATGCACGATCTGCACGATATTTGTATTAATTTATTTGAGCAGGCTGAACGCTTCACTTGGAGACGCTGCTGGCGGCGGCGGCGACGGCGACGGCGACGGCGCACGCTGCCACCACCACCAATAAAACTGAGATGGAAAAGCGAAAGCAAAAGAACAACAAAAACCTAAATAAAAACGAGCCATTTAATTTACGAGCCGTTTGTGTGTGGCCAAACATTCTTGCCGTTTTATCGAAGAGCCGAAAGCTCTCTGGGGAATACCCAGCGGCATGTCGTTAAATTATAATATCCTATTTAGCAAATCATATTTCTTCTCGTCTCTGATTGACATCTCGAGCAAGCAAGAGAAAGAGAAAGAGGCTGTCCGTTTGACATCGCTGAGGACAGCTGCAGCTGGGTTTAGTTGGGAATTTGCTTCAAGTTGACATCATAATTGGAATTGGAATTGAAATGGGAATTGGAATTGGAATATATTGAGTCATCTGTCAAGGTGAAATTCTCAACAGAAAATTTTCAATTATTCAATTAATTAAACTTGCCAAAGAATTTGAGAGTATTTCGCACGAGTTGATCAGCTCTCAAAAATGAGAGTTCTGGGCTGAGTTTCTGTCGATTGCACTGTTAATTAATGTCGCTTACAAAGCTAAGAGGTTCAGGGCTGGATCCTCAGAGAGCAGATCGTGAATATGCAGTTAGTTGTCCTAGCAGACGGCAAAGGCTATTTGGCTATGTTTATTGTCCAATCTACATGATCAGCACTTGGCATGTTATCTGTTGTAACTTTAATGTTAATGTTAATTTCAATGTTAATGCTAATGTTAATGTTAATTCATTATTAATATCTAAAGAGCAGTGTTTAATGTGAATGTATAGAGTAGAACACGGCTATAGCGACTCCACTTATTTCGACGAAAATTCTGGTCCACATGCAAGCAGATATGAGCGAACTTATACTATAACGACGGTCCCTTGAGCGTCGTTGGAACCGGATTCTACTGTATGGGTATAACTATATATATGTATTTATATACATGTGTATATATTTTTATACATTTCATGCGCATAGACTTGGAAATCATTGAATAGTAAAAAAAAGGCTATGGCTAAAAAAGTTAGAGAATTCAGCTTCACATGTAGGCATACACCTATATATATATATAGTGTATAGCTAAATGATTTCTACATAATTCCAAACTGATATGATAATTGCAAATTATATATAATATATATTTAATATATGATTTGCTTCAAACTAAAAACGACTCAAAGCATTGCTAGCTGCCTATACAGCATCACCTAACTTCCATGTTCGGCAATCTGTTTAAAATAGTTAAACACAAATGTTCTTGAGATGTTTAAGTCTTAGCTTCAGATTTGAGTGTCCCTTAAATTTGGTCGATTTGCACAGGAAATTCTTGCTGGGCTTCCATTTTCTTTTCTTTTTTTTTTTTAATTAGAGCTGGTCGACTGGCTGGACGCCCTCATGCATTTGAAATAATGCAAAAGTTGGCGGCCAGCCCAGATAGCGAACTATTATGCATTTTTCACACTCGCATTTGGCTAATGTTTTGCCGGGTTGCATTAATGAGCCGAAGCTTATCTGGCAGAGACTTTGCGCCGCCTTCGCCTGCACTCAGCGGGGCTCGCAGAGCAGCTGAGATGGAGACGAAGACGAGGACGAGGACGAAGATGGCCGCCACAGACTCTGACTGGCAATGAACAACTTTTGTCTTAATGGCCGAATTATGCGAAAAATAAAACCAAGCAAAAAAACAAAATAAACAAAAATTCATGTGAAATAAAGCAAAAGCAAATCTATGCCTTTGTCTCGAGCAGCCAGCTCACGTAGGCCCAAAACCAATTGAATTTTAATGGACCCTCCGCGCCGTCCAGTTGCCGCGCGATGTCGCATGCAGTGCAGTCCGTATGCACAGATTATGGGCGGCAGCTGTCCGGCATTGCGACAAATGGCAGCATCATCAAATCGCCGATGGACGTCAGACAATTTGATATTTTCATAACTCCAGCTATCAGTCGTCAGCCGGGGCAGGCCTTATTGATATGCTTCGCATGGTGTCTGTGCGCAAAAATCAAAAAAAGAAGAAGAAGAAATAAAGTGTGGGGGAGGGGAGGAGGAGGCTGGATAACGCATAAATTCTATGCCCATGTCCAGAGTGTCCTGTGTGTGTCCTGGCGTTCGCCTTTGTCTGGCTGATTGCAACAATAATGAGCGGAAATCGCACAAGCAACACGGAGACAGACAGACAAACAGCTGGACAACAATGCAAAGGGAGCACACGTTGCGTCACGTACTCCATCCCAGCCAGCTCGGCCAGCTCAGCCTCAACCCCATCAGGACTCGACGCGATTCAAGACTCGACTCGATGCTCGGCGACTCCTTTTCTATTTGCATCCATTTTACTTTTGTCCTTCGCTGATGGCCGCGCGGCCGGACGGATGGATGCTGTTGATAGTTGAGGACGTCTCGTAAGTGCGCGAAATAAATATGAGCATCATGTAAATAGTTTGCTTGCTGCACAGTGGGTCGCATGCCGTGATTCGCGGATGAAATATTGACAAATTTATATACATATATATTTATACTAATTTTTAATATGTATTTATTTGTAATTGTAATCATGAACTACCTCTTGTACCTGAAGAGAACGCTTCATCGGAGGCACTCTACTCTATGTACAATAATGTATCAGGAATAATATTTATCGAATTCCGTCATTTT